TCTGTGCCAAGTTTTTCCTTCCACTGCACCTCATTTGGAAAATATTGACATGGCAGCTTTCCAAGATAGATAAGGTCTGTAGTCATAAATATCACTTTGAAATCGGGTTTGCCAGGCCTTTGCTGAATGTGAATGAGAGGAATTCACATTCATTTAATAAAAGGGGTTTTGTCGGGACCAGGACTCTGCCTTGTGCTTTTTGGGGAAGCCTAGCTCAGAACATACGTGACCAGGGGAAAGCTGCAACAGTTGTAAGTGTGAAAAATGGTCATAAGTCACTTTTTCAGTCCTGTTGTAACTTCGAATAGCTAGTAAATGAAGTGTTGTAAGTTAAGGACTACCTGTACTATTGATAACATGTGTGCGTAAACCTAGTCATCTGTTGAGGCAGCAGATTAAAGCTGAATAAATCAGGCATGTTGAAACACTGTACATAAAACTAGAAATGACGCATGATTCTTTTCCCTTCCTTCCCAACCTCTCATGCCAAGGCATGAGCCCCAGTCACTAGAGGGTTTCATGACATCAGCAAAACTTTGTCATGATCTCAGCCCAGTGGGTTGGGACTGGAAAGGCACGCAAATGGAAATAACACTTGCCACTGTGGGATTTGTACTCTCCCTTCTTGAATCAAACGGATCTTTCCCAAAGGAGGCCCATACCCAACATTATCTGTTTAAAGGTAAATGCTCCCCTGGCACATATGTGCTAGTCGTTCCCGACTCTAGGAGGCGGTGCTCATCTCCCTTTCAAAGCAGAAGAGCCAGCGCTGGCCAAAGACGTCTTCGTGGTCATGTGGCCGGCATTTCTAAACGTCAAAGGCGCACGGAACGCTGTTACATTCCAATCAAATATGGTTCCTATTTTTCTACTTGCATTTTTTACGTGCTTTTGAACTGCTAGGTTGGCAGAAGCTGGGACAAGGAATGGGAGCTCACTGCGTTATGCAGCGCTAGGGACTCAAACCGCTGAACTGCACACCTTCCTGATCAAAAACACAATGTCTTAGCCACTGAGCCACCGTGTCCCTCTATTATCTGTTTAGCTGGGTTTTAAATTCCTGTTTTTGACCCCCCCGCAAATCCTTCTTTCCACTTGTACTCTCTCATTTCACCCTGAAGGAAGTTCACCCAAGAGACTGCAGCATTTTTTCCATGATTTTAATATAGACATCTAAACAGATCTTCTTTCTGGTGATAAAATTTTTGTCTGCCTTAACTTCCAACCATGATAGGATTTCGGCTTAGACCAATTTCTTGACAGTGAATTGTTGGATTATTATTATTTTTTTGGCAGATGTGCTAAGGCTAAAAACATGTTTAAACTTTTCACAGAATGCATCTGGCAGAAAGTGCTGATTTATTATGGCACTAAAAATATTTCCAGCAACAGGAGAACATGCCAAGAAATCTTTATGATGTTCCTTCTCAAACTTCTTCATTTACTTTCCTGGAAAGGTTGGGACCATTGGTCTTCTAAAGCTCAAATTGGAAACCTCAGGAGATCTTTTCGATTTAAACAGGAACCAGTAGATCTCCCCCCCCCCNAGAAAGGATGGAAAGAAGAAGGGAGGGAGTGTGGCGGGAGGGAGGGAAAGAAACAAGGAAGTATGGAGGGAGGGAAGGAAGGAAGGGAGGAGAGAGGATGGAAAGAAGGAGGGAGGGAGGAAATAGAGAAGGAAGAAAAAAGGGAGGGAGGGAGGAAATAGAGAAGGAAGGAAATAGAGAGGGAGGGAGGGAGGAGAGAGGATAGAAAGAAGGAGGGATGGAGGGAGGAAATAGGGAAGTAAGTAGGGAGGGAGGAAGGAAGGATGGAAAGAAGGAGGGGGGAGTATGGGAGGGAGGGAGAAAAGGAAGGAACCAATCCACTGTAAGGCTAGGTACCATATCTATTCTGTTTGTATTATGCAGAAAATGAGATTGAAAGTAATGAAGAGTGATGATGCTGATAATAATGAAGAGAAGGAAAAATCTGGAAATTTATTTTACTCAACGATCAGCAAAATAAGATACTGTAGGCTATAATAAAGCATCCATTCAGCTATGAATACAGCATATGAATACAGAATAAATAGCATCAAATCTATAACATCAATAAGGCTAAGTAACTAAATCTAAGAAGAATGTGTTATCCTAATTCTTGCAAACTAGATCTATGCTAAGAGGCAACAAAAACAGTAAGATTAGGGTGTGAATGCTTTCCTACAGTTCTATGACTAACTGATAAGCTAAAATACAGAATTCTAAAACAACTGATGGGTATAAAAAAAAAGCCTAAGCTATTCTGCTCTTGCAAAAAAGTAATACAATTCTCCCCTTAATCAGTAACATTCAGAAAGACTATATCAATTCTATCACACACAAAAAGACCCAAATACCACAGTACAAAATATATCTGGATGGCCTGAGTAATTTGCTATTTATGGTGTCAAAGAGTATGAACAAGTATCCTGACAAAAGGAATGATGTGAAAAAGATAATAAGCAATGTTTTTCATTGTTCCATATGGGCAAAACCAATCATTACAAGAATTGTTGTACACTTTCCTACCAAGGGAACAATAGGGAAATAATGAATCATAGAATCATAGCACTGAAGCAACCTTGGAGGTCTTCTAGTTCAAACCCTTGCCCAAGGCAGAGATCGTATAACATCCCGGACAAATTGCTGTCCAATTTTTTCTTGAAAACCTCCAGCTATGGAGCACCCATAAAGCTGAGAGGCAAGCTTTTCTATTGATTAACTGCTTTCACTTAAATTTCTCCTCCGTTCCCAGGTAGAAAGACTCTTTATTGAACTTCCACCCATTGCTTCTTGTCCTGCCCTCTGATGCTTTGGAGAATAAATCAATCTCTTCCTCCCTGTGACAGCCCCTCAAGTATTGGAAGGAAGCCGGCATGTTGTCCCTAATCCTATTCTTCATTAGGCTAGGCCAGGGGTCAGCAATCCATGGCTCTGGAGCCACATGTGGCTCTTTCATCCCTCTGCTGCGGCTCCCTGTCGTCGGTCAGTTCCACAATTGATAGGGCTTTTGGTTAGGACAGGTAGAGGAAAAAGGGTGCCACGCTAGGAGACTCTATGGTGGGGGAACCGGATATCTGGTTGGCTCCAGAATTGAACTTCCAGTTAGGCTTCCAGTTAGGAAGGGGTAATGCTATTTACCAAGGCCCGTGAAGGCCAGACAAGGAATAATGGCTAGAAACTGAGCAAGGAGAGATTCAACCTGGAAATAAGGAGAAATTTTCTGACAGTGAGAACAATCAACCAATGGAACAAAAGTTGACTTCGGAAGTTGTGGGACCTTCATCACTGGAAGCTTTCAAGAAGAGATTGGACTGCCATTTGTCAGAAATGGTGTAGGGTCTCCTGTGTGGTGGGGGGTTGGACTAGATGACCTACAAGGTNTGGGCCAATCACAAGGAGATGGCGAGTTCTAGTCTGGCCTTAGGCATGAAAGCTGGCTGGGTGATTTTGGATCAACAACCAGGAGATGGTGAGTTCTAGTCCTCCCTTAGGTATGAAAGCCAGCTGGGTGACTTTGGATCAATCACCAGGTGATGGTGAATTTTAGTCCTGCCTTAAGCACAAAAGCCAACTGGGTGACTTTGAGCCAATCACTCTCTCTCACACTTGGGTGACAAGCCCATTGGTAAATTCCTGTCTCAACCAATGGATCATCACTCAATTGATCCAAAAGAAACAGATCCTGCAAGTTGCAAGAAAATGCTAGGAAGTGGGGGGGGGGAGAAAAAAGTACGGGGCATAATCTTTTTCAGCAGCTTTTACAGTCCAACTATGCTCTTTGATTCAACTTCAAGGATAAAAGTCAATTAAGAAAGATGAAACAAGTAGATGAACAAGGAAGGGCTAAAACCTCTCTGCACTTGTGAATATAAATCACAGTGCCTCCCGAAGGGGGAAAGAACATTTCTGTTCTTGCCTGTTGACCTGTAATACATTGCTTGTCCTTTCTGTACCAGTATCAAAAAGAGGAAAGTTTTACGTATAAGTCTTCCCATTAAATACTGTCTAGAAAACATTTCAGGTAGAAAGGCAGGAGAGCAGATTATGAATATTTATTTAACTATTCCATGTTTCACTTTTGGAAAAAGGATCCCCCCCCCCCGCACAATTACTTTCCGCACCTTCCATTTTTCACAAAAGACAAAGAGGTAGCCTTTAGGAGGGAAAAGAACCACAAACTTTCACCAACTTTCTCTTTTTAGATAAACATGGTGACAGGCTTCCAATGAAGCATGAACCTAAGTATTTTAGGACTACAGTGGCACCTCTGTACTCATCATTAATTGGTTCCGGGAGGCTCAATTGTGTACCCAAAACAATCAATACCAAACAATTTTTTCCCATAAGGAATAATGTAGTGCGTCACAAGGCAGCCTACATCAACCTGTTCTAGCAAATGCACTGAGTACTAAACAAAGGATGAATACCGGGACAACATTTTTGCGTCAAAATGCATTGAGTACCAAATCCGATGAGTTTCAACGCAGTCAAGTACCAAGGTACCACGGTACCTGCTTCTTTGTTCCATAAATACATTACATGGACATAACGGACCACATAAAATAATAGCAAAGTGAAGCTTTTGTACTGAAAAACCAAGGCAACAAAGTGATGGACTCACCATGTTATGTTTTAGGATTCTTTGTACCACTGGAGTGAAGACTTCTATGACCACCATAGACCGGGGGCGTTCTCGGCAATGCTGTGTCAAGAGATGGTTAGATTTAAAAAGAGGTGAGAAAAAGCACAATCCACTGCCTCTAATGACCCAACATTTTATTAATCTTAACAAGGATAACATCAGTTATAATGGCTCTCTTCCCCAATCTACTGGAGAGATCTTTGTGAAGGGTTTGACAAGTACTTCTCAGTAAGGACCACAGAAGTTACGTCTCACTCATATTGCCTGTTCCTCTTCTTTCTGAAGCTGTCAGGCTTGGAAACCATCTCAGTTAAAAGCAAGGGAGATCTAGTAGTGAACAATGGGTCCACTAGATTACAGTAGTTTGCAACCCAAAATTCCCAATATTAGATGGGAAGTCCAATAGATGTCAACATTTTTACGTATTTCTTTCAGTAGCATAGAGAGGTCATGTGTTATAATTGGAAACATATCAAAACAGCCATTCTACAATGTTGCTAATAAATACTGGAGCATCCCTCAAATTGAATTTTCATCCCAGACAGTTGTTCGCTTGCTTGCTCATTTATCTCGTTATCTCTGTATCTATCTCTGTATTATCTATCTCTGTATGTATCTCTGTGTCTGTCTATCATCCATCCATCTATCCAGTGGTGGGATTCAAATAAATTAACCGGTTCTCTACTGTAATGATTTCTTCCAACAACCAGTTCACTAACTGCTCAGAAAGTTAACAACCCAAAGTTGGTGCGAACTTGCTGAATCCCAACACTGTATCTATGTTTGTATGTTTGCATCCATCCATCCATCCATCCATCCATCCATCCATCCATCCATCCATCCATCCATCCATCCATCCATCCCATCCCATCCCATCCCATCCCATCCCATCCATCCAATCAATCCATCCATCCAACCAACCAACCAACCAACCATAATGCTTATAATTCATGCTTATCTTGGAGGACTGTAGTTATGGACAGCCTCGCTAGGTAGATCAGACAAAAAATCAACTCTACAGAAAGCTAAAAAAAAAAAAGGTTTATTGAGAGAAGCTACAATAACAACATCTTTAGACTGTGTTGTCTCTCCTCCATTTATGCTCCGGTAAGGATGACAGCTGTCTAAGCAAACTGTCTGAATGTTATCAATTTTCTCTGGACTTAAAAAAAAGAGTTTTATCTCATTTTGTCTAGATCACAGTTTCTGCGTATATCCATGAAGGTTACACCTTCCTTACTCTCTACAAACAAAACCTTAACTTGTTTAAGGAGCTGCAACTTAAGACAGTTTTGGACATCGGTTGCAAAAATTAAGAAAAGAAACAAGGACACCAGAAATACCTTGCAAAAGAATTCACACAAGTCAGGTGGTGGATGGTTGTTTTCCAGCAAAGGAGCAAGTGCCTAAAATGATGAAGGAATGACAACACGTTTATATTCATTTATACTCTGATCGTTATATCAGAAGCAGGCTCTCTATTATTCTTCCATCTCCAACCAGAAGAAGAAAAGGGCTCTTGTAGGCAAAAACGTTACTGCAGAAGATGACGTAGATAAAGAAACTTCTTCAGAATCCTGAACTGCATTTGATTTTAAGAGATTTCTAAACATTTGGGCTGCTGGAGCAAACAAGATGAATCAGACATGAAGCCTCATCAGCACCAAGGATCCCTTCACCAAACATTCAACAGTGGTCAGGGTGGCAATTTAACTGTTACTGATAGATGAGCATCCTGGGAAAAGTGTTTAGGGAAGAGGTGTGGGTTTCTTCCTCTGCTACCCTGTTTCCCCAAAAATAAGACCACCCCCCAAAATAAGCCCTCCCCTAAAATATTTACACGCATGGGCAGCTGCTCCCCACTGCTGCATCCTGTTTCCACTTTGGTCTGCTCCCAGCGCGGAGAGCAGGGCGCACTCTGATTGGTTGCGCATCCGACAGTGCCGGGTATAAAATAGCTGTCAAAAGTGCTGAACAGCTGCTGTGGTAGTGATCCACTGGTTAGAGCTAATTGTTAGCCTAAATAAAGTCTGTTAGCCTTCAGCTCAGTCTCGTCTCTATCTGTCATGCTGAGCATTGGGAAAGATCACCCATCATTTCCTTGGGAGGGGGGACATACCCCACATGCACCTTTCAGCATCCTTGCAGTGACACTCCCATTTTCCCCAAAATAAGACCTCCCCAGATAATAAGCCCTCCCCTAAAATATTTAACCACATGCGCAGCTGGTCCCCGTTATTTCCTGGGGGGAGGGGGGAACATTCCACCACGTGCCCCACATGCACCTCCCATCCACATGGAATGGCCCCCATGGAGGCCACTCCCGCAAACCCTACCTTCCGCGCCCCTTCTCTTAGTGGCGGCTGCAAAGAGAGCCCAGTGATGCCAGGGCTGGCAAGAGTGCCAGGCACAGGGACAGAACGTCCAGCCCTCTCTGGATCATATGATCCATGGGCTGAGGTCAAGGGGCCTCCTGTACCTCAAAAATAATAAGACCTCCNTTCCTAAGAGGTCCATAAAGGGGGCGTGCATAAGCGCACCAGCGTGCCTACTGTTCCTGTCCTACTGTCCCCATTTATTCGTACCCATTTCCTGTGTTCATGTCCATGTTTATACTTATACCTGCTATCTTGCACATGTTTGACAAACTATATAACTAAATAAAATACTAAAATAAATATTGGTTCCATTCCCCCCCCCTCATTACAGTTATATGATCTGCTTTTTTTAATGGACTTTAATTCTGTTTTTAATAGAAGTTGACTCTTTGGAATTTTGCTGAGTGTTTCCGGGGGGAAAAGAAAAGCCACGGCATGCAATTATCTTTAAAAATTGTATTAAGTATTTGAAGTAAAAGAGGAGATGAAAACAACTTACTCGATATTGATTATTATTTTGATATATGCCTCTGCACAGAAGGCACTTATTCACAAATATCCAGTTTGTTGGAACGTTAACTAATTTTTTTTAAAAAAGGGGATTCAAATCGCAGAGACCTGTCATTATATCTACTTTCATTCTGGATAGAGTTCAACATTTTTCTATGAATTTGTCATCCCCTGTGCTGAGTCTTGATTTACTCTATATCAACAACCACATTTTTTTTACCCTGATATCAATTTCCAAGTTAAAAGAGTGTTTATGCAACTTTGTTTAGAGACTGTTTGAAGTTAAAACGGCACTGAAAATGTGACTTTTGATTGGTCCTTGCATGTACAATTGTCACTGTGTTCCCATGTTTATGTGATCAAAAGTCAGATGCTTGGCAAACAACATATTTATGATGGTTGCAGCATCTTGAAGTCATGTGTTCATTATTTGCAACCATCCTAGCAGAGGAAGCCAGATTGTCTTAATGACACATGGTTCATTCCAGTGGTGGGTTCTGGGCAGTACAGCAGTACTGTACTGCTGTACTAGTAGCTGGGAGCAGCGGCCACTGTATCAGTACGGTGGCTCGTTTGGGCCACCCACCCGCCCGCGTTTCTTACCAGTTTTTGAAGCAAACAGGCCAATTGTGCTGCACACGCAGTGTGTGGTGCCAGCATGACCTCCGCCAAGCAGCTGGGTGTTCGTAGGGTGGTGGCATGCACATGCGTGCGCAGCATGCATGGCCAACTAAGATGCCCGGCCCCATGCGCAGCGAACTGGTTGCGACGGGATCTGGAACCCACCATTGGTTTACTCAACAA